TTTATGATGAAGTGTCACTTAAAAAAATCATTAAGAATCCGAGCAACCATATTTAAATGAGAAAAAAAAAAGTAAATAGTAAAAATAAAAATAGTTTACCATATTGATTTAATATTTTTTTAAATGAAATTTATCTAATTAAAAAATAATTTTAACAAAAAAAAAAATACTAAAATTCATAGTTTTCAATTCTCTACCGGTAGAGCACACTATTGATATATATGAAAAGTTTTTTATAGTTATAATTACGTTTTAAAATATACAATAATCCGTTTAATTTATTTTTTATATTTAAAACTAAAAAATAATTATTATATATAATAAAAAATAAAATATATAATTTTTATAAAATTATATTTTAGATTGTATTGGATCACGGTTAAGTGAAAAAAGAAGTGAGATTGTGTTGAAGTTGAAGATTGTATAGGTGGATGAAAGAGAAAACATTTTTTTTATTAACCTGTATATCCAACCCGCTATGCGAGCCGACTAATCTCAGGACGACCACCTGCTATGTAGATAGCCCGGAGTCACCGCATTTGAACCTTCGTAGCCACAAGATGGATAGATAGATAGAGACAAATTCAAATGCAAACTATGTAAATGTTACATACCTTACAAACTAATCTAATTGTCCATGTAGATTACCAAATCGATTTTGATGATGCAAATTAAATTGATTCCGATATTTTCTCTCAACTTTTTTTAAGTATATAATATTTATATACGACAAATGCAACAAATAAACTCACACACTCTCCTTACATTTGTTGAGGTTTGAATCTTTGACCTTCTAGGAGGCCAAATGGTCGATATTGGTTTGTTAGATGTGCAATATTTACATGGTTTATATTTGAGAGATTTGGGATCATATGAGACAAAATTGTTTTCGTGAGACACGTGAAACACGATTTTTACACTGAAACTTCACAGTAAAACATTGTGAAGATAACATTCACAGTGTTTTTGTTATGAAAATTCAGTTTTTTTACCTTTTCAAGTGTAAAAATCGTATCTTACGAAAACAGTCTTGTTGCACGTGAACCCAATCCTATGTGTGTGTGTAAGGGGCCATTCAGGAGAAAACTGATTAGTTTGTAGTAATCGTGAGACCAATGTGAACCAGTAGTTTAAGATATTTAAGAATATTTTTTAAACAAGTTAAAAAGGTAATATAATAATTATATTTTTGACAATTAATTAAATATTTAATTAAATTTTTTAGAAGGAAATATTTAATTAAAATTAGTTATCTAGTATACCAATTACTAATATATATCGTATTTTAAAGACGTTTGTGAATGAAAGTGTATCATAGTGATAATGTTCACAATGTTTCACGTATCGCATATATATATATATATATATATATATATATATATATATAGTGAGAGAGTTATTCAAGGGAGAACTCAATAATTTTTTATAACCATGAAATCCGATTTCAACCACAAATCATTTTAAAATTAAGATATTAATAATTATGGTATTTTTAACTTAAAACATATGTTAAGAGCATTTTAAAGATTTTAAAAATCTCCTCTCTCGAGGAAATCTTATTCCGACGAACTTTATGTGAACATAATATACACACTGTGATACCCAAAAAGATATCGTTTTTAAAAAAAATATATACAAACGATATTTATCGTGATACCCTTATATACATATAACATGTGAACCGTGATACCTTTGTAAAACAACTAAAATAACAAAAATACACATTGTGATACTCTTCTAAAGCAACGAAAGTAACAAAAATGCATATTGTAATACACTTTATAAAACATTGTGAATATTATCATTATGATACATTTGTATCCACAAACATCTTTAAAAAACAATATATATTAAGCAATTAAAATTAATCAAACATTTCCTTTAAAAAAATTAATTAAATCCTTTTATGAATTGTTATAATTAAAATTTCTAAATAACCATTTTACCTTATCTAAAAAATATTCTTAAATATATATATATAGGGTATATTTCAAATACAACAATGTCCATTTGTAAAACCAATACTACTCAATTTTATATATATATATATATATATATATATATAGGGAGCGATCAAATGAAAACCACTCAATTTGTGAAAACCGTAAAAACCTCATTCCATCAATCATAATTTTTCATTTTGTTCATTTTTTTTGTAATTATAAGAGGTTGATTAATCATTTTTGTTGTGGAGGATGTTAATCATGGATATTATCATCTTCATTATTTTAATTTTAGAGAAATACATGAACCAATTTCATTAAGTAGTATATGAAACAATTTCATAACCATATATAAAACAATTTCATCAAAAAAAAGTATTATATGAAACAATTTCACAAGATTAAATAATTTCATGAAAAATTTTCATAAGATTACGACGGATGATAGTAGTTTTTACAAATTGAAGTGGTTTTCATTTGATCGCTCATATATATATATATATATATATAGGAGCGATCAAATAAAAATCGTATCCATTTGTGTAAACCGTGTAAACCAATCTCACCCATCCATTTTCTTGATCAATGGTTAAGATTAATCAAGGTTATTTAAGAAAATTAAAAATAAAAAAAATTGGAAATACATTTTATAATACGGATAAGGGCAAAAGGGTAAAACCAAATATTCATTTATTCAAGGAAACCATATCATGTATATCATATAATTAATGAAACTAATCTATTTTTTGTAACATAATTTATTATTTTTACGTTAACATTTATTATTATTAATGAAACTAATTTATTTTTCATCTTGCAATTATTTCATGATGAACCGCCTACATTATGCACCCAATTTATTTTTCATTTCATCTACTGAATGAATCACCTATACCATAACTGAAACGGGTTTCACCATGAAAGCAGTTCACCACTCATTGTTCAATTACGCCATGAACCAGTTTCACCTTCATAAAACCTGTTTCATGTAAATTAATTTTTTTATTTCGCTCATGATTTGATGCATTCTTTTTTTTACTCCTTACAATCTTTAAGATTCTGGAGCAGATTACAATCTTCAAGATCCCGAAGCAGATTTATCATGCAATTATTTCATGACGAACCAAATAAATTATGCACATGTTTCATGTTCCATTTTTTATACTAAATGGATCAACTACACCATCATTGAAACATGGTTCACCATGAAATGATTTCATATTACTCATGAATCAATTACAAYATGATCCAGTTTCACCTTCATGAAACATGTTTCATGTAAATTAATTTTTTTATTTCACTCATGATTTGATGCATTCTTTCATTTAATCCTTACAATCTTCAAGATTCTGGAGCAGATTACAATCTTCTAGATTCCGAAGCAGATTCATCATGTACCCGTTTCATCATGCAATTATTTTATGACGAACCAAATAAATTATGTACCCGTTTCATGTTTCATTTTTTCTACTAAACGGATCAACTACACCATCACTGAAACGTGGTTCACCATGAAACGATTTCATATTACTCATGAATCAATTACAATATGAACCAGTTTCACCTTCATGAAACCTGTTTCATTAACATTATTTTTTTAATTTGAACCATAATTTACGATTTCATTTCATAATGCAAATCAATCTTCAAGACCCTTTTGCAGATTCAATCTCATAACAATATATTAAATTCAAAATTTTAATATTATAATATAATTAAATATTTAAATGTTACCATTTATACAATTTCTTTTATTACGTTTTCTTAATTAAGATTTATTATTAACTTTCATATTTAATAGAAAAATATTGTAAATGACCGAAATACCCTTATTAATTAAATTTAATTAGAAAAAATAGAATTTTCCTATTGGTCAAAATTGGTTTACATGGTTTTTAAAAAATACACGGTTTTCATTTGAACTTGCCCCCTCTCTTTTCATGAAAATTAATTGGGTTGCAAAAGTTGTATAAATGCACAAGGTTGTAAAAGAAATATACTATATATATATATATATATATATATATATATATGCTGATTTTTCTTTCAACAATAGTTGTTCTACAATAAAAAACATAAAAGGATACATATTTATTGCTTGTTAATATGAATTTGTTTAGGGATTTCTGAAGAATTAGGGAATTCAATTAATCGTTTATCAGAATCATTGATCACCAGCACTCAACAAACGCAAAATAGAAGCGGATTCTGGAGGACATTACCAGTGCCCCTTCTACGGTTAGATTGCTCGAGTGTTTTTGGGTATTCTTTTTCATCTTTGATCATCACTTGTTTCTATGAATTTGATGAAGATATGTTTCTAAATTCACATAGTGCGTTTGATTTTTGCTTGATTTGGAATGCTAATGGTTTATTGTCCTTTGAACAATTTTCCTTTATTGTTGGGCCATTCTAGGGTTTTAGAATAAAATCTAGTGATTTTGATTGCATTTTCAGTATGTTTCATTGTGTTTATTGGATCTGATGGTAGGGTTTGTTCGATTTTTGCTGATTCAAGTTCATAGGAGTAATGAGATTTTTGTGGGCAATTATTTTCATGATTCTAGAGAATGAAAATTTTCAATGTTGAATGCATTGAGATTGTTTTACTGATGAATGCCAATCAATGACGCTAATGTTACAATTTGGAAGCTTGTATGATTAATTTAGTGGTTTTTGTATGGCACATTAATGTTTTGAATCTTAGTCAGGATAATTTGTTTGAGTAGTTCAATTTATGGTTCTCTATCACAATTTGTTTGGGATTTAGGGGAAGTTATGCAATCATCTAGTTGCACGATGTTTTTTCAGTATGATCAATTTAGTAGGTTTTTGATGGTACATTAATGTTTTGAATCTAGTTCATGACCTTATTTTTACATATATTGTGCTTGTCATTGGTTTCAATATGCCATCAAATGAGTTGCATACTTGTTTTGTGAGGATTAATCTAATTGAGTTGCTTAGGTTAGGTCGTTAGTTGACTGTCCAGATGTTTCATGAACATTTGGAAACCGTTATAACGGATCATGTTGATTTGTTTTTACTTGTGTTAGATTCTATGACATTTAGATAACATTGTTTTCGTTATTCGATTGGTTTCATCCGTTTTTTGCTTTCCGAAATCCAATTGTTAGTTCCAATGGTCAATCGTGCTTTTTTCTCCTTAGGGATTCAAAATGGAGCCTATAATAGGATGTTGGTTTCTATATATAATTCGGTTCATTATTACACTTGTTGTTACCAATCGTATCCTTGCTTTTTGCGCTATATACTTGTCATCATTCTTGCTTTCAGCCGGTACGTTACATTTAATTTACTCTTTCTCTCTCTTTTTTTTCTTGTATTAGGGCTTGCTCAATCAGAGGTAGGCCCTTTACTTTGCATGCAAGATTATTTATTGGTGAAGTTGGATATGAAACATTGTTGATATGGAATGTAATAAGGACGAAGCTCTCCGGGCTAAAGAGATATCTGAGGTGAAGCTAGTAGAACAAGATTTTGTGGGAGCGAAAAAGCTTGCACAAAAAGCTGAGAAGCTGTTCTCTGGGCTTGAAGGTCTTCCGCAGCTTTTGACAACGCTTGATGTGTACATTTCTTCAGAGAAGAAGATTAATGGGCAAACAGATTGGTACGGTGTTCTTGGTGTGGAACCCACAGCCGATGATGAGACTATTAGGAAGAATTACAGGAAGCTGGCTCTCACCCTTCATCCTGACAAAAACAAGTCGGCTGGAGCTGAAGGCGCCTTTAAGCTTGTGTCGGAGGCATGGACATTACTGTCTGATAAGGTTAAACGAAAAATATATGACCAAAAACGAAACCCAAGACCTGTGTACCAGAAACCCGTCACTGAAACTCAGAAGACTTCAGCCCCTACTACTCAGCCCACTCAACCAATTCCTCGGCCACCAAATACCACATTTTGGACTAAGTGTACAAGATGCTTAATGCATTTTGAATACTTGAAAATTTACCTCAACCAGAAAATTCTTTGCCCCAATTGTCGTGGGCCCTTTTGGGCTGTAGAGTTGTCCGCCCCACCCATAAACCATCATGCAACAACGCGGTATCCTCAAAAGCAGAATCACAATGCAAATCATCAAGTGAATGTTCCACAGGGTCCATCCTTAAACTCATCTAGGGTCAACCATGTGAATGTTCAGCAGGGCCCATCTGTAAACACTTCAGCTGTGAACGGCAGTGGACAATTTAAAAGACGACATGAAGTGAAAGCAGGTGCAACAAGATATCAGACCTCAAATTCAGGGTTAGGTTCTGTTAAAGGTGATGGAATTGCAAAAAGGAGACGTGTAGCCGAACAGTCTTCAATGGTACATGCCAGCAATGCATATGTAAAAGCCAATTCAGGAGGGGAAAAGGTTAATGTTTCTGTACAGCGGAAGCTTAATAATAGTACGAGGGAATTGTCCCAGGCAGAAGTTCGTACCATGTTGATGAAAAAAGCTAGGAAAGAAATTCACAAGAAAATGGATGAATGGATTGCAGAAAAAGCTTCAAGGAAAGAAGGTAGGAAGAGAGAAAATGAGATGACTCATCGTGGTAAAAAGAATGCTGATGAGATCACTGTAAATGGTATGAGCAAAGTTAAAGGCATAAAAGCACCGTCAAAAGATGCTGTGGATACAGTTAACATGGACTCTGATACGAAGGAAGTTGACATGGGCTCTGTTGCGAAGATTGAAGCGGTACTGATGATTGTTCCAGATCCAGATTTTCATGATTTTGACATGGATAGAACTGAAAGGTCATTTGGTGAAAACGAGGTTTGGGCTGCTTATGATGAAGATGATGGAATGCCTCGATACTATGCAATGATTCATAGTGTCATATCGAAAAAACCCTTCAAGATGCGTATAAGTTGGCTGAATTCCAAGAGTAATGCTGAGCTAGGACCGATTAATTGGGTCGCATCTGGCTTTCCTAAAACTAGTGGAGATTTCAGAATAGGCAAGCATGAAATCAATACCTCACTTAATTCTTTCTCACACAAGGTTCAATGGACCAAAGGCAAAAAAGGGGTTATTCAAATTTACCCACGAAAAGGTCAAGTATGGGCCCTTTATAGGAACTGGTCTCCTGATTGGAATCAGTTTACTCCAGATGTAGTGGTACATAAATATGACATGGTGGTAGTTGTTGAAGATTATAATGAGGAGAAGGGGGTGATGGTAGCTCCTTTGGTTAAAGTTACTGGTTTCAAATCTGTGTTTCATCAACATCCTGATGAGATGGAATCACGGACGATTCCTAGAGAAGAAATTTTTAGATTGTCTCATCAGGTTCCTTTTTATTTGCTCACAGGTGAAGAATCTCTTAATATTCCCAAGGGTTGCTGGGAGCTTGACCCTGCAGCACTACCCTTGGAGCTGCTTCAGCCCACAATTGAAACAAAAGTAAAGGCAGTGGATGATGGACAAGATTCCAGGGGAAACGAGGCTAAGGGGATTATAACATATGCTAGAAAGATGCGAAAAAATGTGGAACTTAAAGGGAAAGAAATTGATGAAACCAACAAAGGGAATCAAGAGGCAACGGATTTAGAAAATAATAGCAGATAGATCTGGGATAGTATGGAGCTTAGTTGACCTGAAGTAGTCATCAGAAGCTTTCAATTTTGGACTCAACCCTGTCTACAAGTTGTAGACATTTTAAGGAGCTAATTTGTAGCAGGTCGAGCTTTGTCAAGGTTATCTTAACTTTTTTGCTTGCTGTAAAAAACTTATTTTCTTGTTTTTCTTTGGCTTACTGGAGACTGTCATATACATGATAGCAAGATTTATGAAGGAGCAAGTTCTTTGAACCCAAATGATTGTTCTTTTCGCTAGGATCAAATTGTGTTTCTAGTGAACTTGTGTTGCTTTGACATATTTATGGATACCATATTTCTTTCGCCTTGATAAACCTAGCATGCTTTTCTTTTCCAATACTTTCTGCTCTTGCTTTTTGCCTAGAAAATGCATGTTAAGTGATGTTGACATCATTTAATTCTAAAGTTCTTGTTTTTTTTAAATCTGTAGTTTGTTACTTTTAATATGCTTATAACCTTGGTTTTTGTTCCTTATTTGGCTTGATTTAGCTAGGCATGCTTGTCATAACTGTTGATGGCATTGAGATAACAATTACGTGTAAATTGTGACTAAAATGAGATTTCCTTTCTGTTAGATTTTCTTTGGAGTCGTGAGCTGGAATTACTTTAGGGGAAAGATATAGTTACTTTTATCAGTATAATTTACCAAAAAAATGCACTACGAATGTTGTTTACAAAGGAAAAACACAAAATTAACATGAAGAAACCCTATATTGTCCAATTCAATATGATCCTAATGGAAAGGATCTTCTTCCGAAATCCTATAATGGTGCAACTTAAAGATTTCCATATGAAAAGTTGATTCTTTTTCTTGATACTGCAATTTAAATCTGGTATTAATAAGTTTACACGAGTGTGCCTATTGTAGAAACAATTTCCCTACAATAAAAACTACAAAAACATAGAGAAGAGATATGCATACCGATATTACTGAAATACGAGCATCTTTCCCAGTTTTATCTTGGGTTGTATGTTGGTGAGTTCTGTTATCATATTACTTACTCTTCTTCTATGTTCTTGCATTATGTCTGTCTGTGGTGAAGATTCTTGGACTTAATTTAAGAATTTCTTTTTCATTTGATTAGAGAAAGGAAAATGTGATAATATGACCAACTTGCTTCTGAACTTCTGATACAATTAGGAAATATTATCATCTGTAGCATGTGGTATGAAAACTTATAGGAAACATTCAAGGGGTATGGTGTACACAGATCTTTCCTCTACCCAAGGGGTAGAGAGGTAAATGTGTTAAAAAATGCGTTTTTATTTTCGGCACTTGTAAACAAATTCTTAGGAGAATCTTGGCCTGCAGATGTGGGATGATTTCCTATAACTCGGTTTCTTGATCTGTACAACATTTATTGGTATGCTTGGTTTAGAGGGTCTAACATCTTCGTTTTGTAGACATCTATGGATCTTATGTCCGTGATTGGAGCAGTCCAGTGTGCAAAATGTATCTGCTGGTTTTTCGTTTCTTTTAGTATGCACCATATGTTGTCTTAGATCTAATTAATCGGTGTGTTTGATTTTATGAATACTTATTATGATGTGGGCCACACCCAGTTTTGCAAATAAATTAATGACATACCAAACCAAATGAGTCCGGTATATCTCCCACAAAGGTACGGTTTGGGGGTAGGATGTATGGAGACATTGCCTCTACCCAAAGGGGTCGAGAGGCAACATGGAGCCTTCTTGAGCAACTCAATTACTTACATTACTTTTTACCATATGTTAAAAACATTAAATTTAAACCAAATTAGGATGGAAAATAAAAAAGGGATTAAATTAAGAATAATATTTGGATACAATTATGGGTTATTCCTTATTAGTCAGGCTTGATTAGGTAACTTTGTAATTGGTTAAATCCTTTCTGCTTAGGAAATAACTTGAAAGACTGGGCAGATCTTGAATCATATGGAAATGAAATGTAGAGAGAAATTCATCTCTCCGGTTAACAAACATTCTTGCCGAATACTTAGAAATACCATATGGGTTGGAACTTGGGGGATGTTTGGTTGATTTTCCATCGAGTCTTGTATGGATTAATCTGTCTGTATGAGTTGGGAAGGTTTTTGTTTGGGAGGTTTTTTTCATAGATGGAAGGAGCGTGTTTTTTAATTGGGAGGAGCATGTTTGGAAAAAACTTGGCTTTTTGCATATAGCTCCCTCCTAAAAGCTTACTGAATAAGTCACTTTTGATATCATTAAGCCACTGCCAAAAAGTCATCTATAGCTGACTGAATAAGCTGTGAGTCCCATTAAACTCATTATGATGCTAAGGAACAGGCCCTTAGACTATAGGCATAGCAAAAAGAAAGCAATGTTCAGATAATGATGCAAATACAAGAACAGATAACAACTAAAACTGCATAGTTTTCAGAAATGGTAATTTCTAGCCTATATTCTACCATATTTAATTGATTGTTCATATTACACTTCATAATTTTATGTATTTAATACTAAGATTATCGCTATATGCCAAATTTGGAAGAATGTGATCACGGAAACAACATGTGGTTGGCATCTAAATGGGCATACAGAATAGGTAAGTCGAAGCAAAAAAAAACCCGGAAAAAAAGATATGTCATACCTAATTGCTATGACTCTTTCCCGTTTACTGATCGTAAAAGAGCAACAAAACGAGAGATGTTTTTGGCGAAGACGATAACTTCAATTTCAGACTTTCAGGTAAACATATGGTTCTTTCTTCCTTGTGCTTTAAGCATACCTTTGGGCATGATAATTTGAACTTGTTTCAGGGTTTCAGAGCCGAGAACCGGACTGGTGTGCCAGCAGGGCGCTAGGCTCCCAAGGGGGTGGATTGCAAAATCCCACATCGGTTGGTGAGGGGAATAAAGATTGCTTTATGAGGGACAGGATACTTCCTCTATCAGACGCGTTTTAAAACGTGAGTCCAGGTTGTGATGATACAGTTGGTATCAATCATTGTATTAAGGGGATCAAGAAGTGGGAAACCACAGTTTCCGAAGAAAATTCAAAGTGAATATCTGACTGAAGATTCGGGTAACTTTTCCTATATCTTGGTTTATTTATTATACACTTGTTACTTCGCTTGGGCTGTGAGAATATTTTAGGCATATTACTAAAAACTGAATTCGTACTGAACATCCCCCTGTAATTGTACATGCTCCCATAGCAATAACATATTTTGGTTCAGCCATTTGCTCGTATAGGTATTTTAGCTTATTTTCCTCACACTTGTTCCTGCTGTCTTTGACTGTTTAATCGTATCCGTTGCTTAATTGCACACACTCTCACCTGTAGCTTGCCTTTTTGTTTCTTTTAATTTTTATTTTAGAAGTCGAGGGTCTTCATGGAAACACCTTCTCTACGCCTGTTCCACTTTGTTCTACTATGTTCCTGTCTGTTCCACATAAAAGTCATGCCAAACGTGGAACAAAGATCCTTGTTTTGTTCTATCTGTTCGGTGTACCAAACACACCCAATAAATAGACTAGGATTTTGCACTTCTTTTGTTGATCTGGTTTGAGTTATTTGTTTCTAGGGATATTTTCCTTCTTGATTTGCTGGAGAAGAAATTGCAAGCTGGGGTCTTCCAAGAAACAACCTCTATTTCTCGTGTGACAACATCTTACCCCCCTACCCTAACTTTGGGCAAGGCATACGAGGTTTGTTTGGTTTGGTTTATCCGCCGGAGAAAAATCATGTCCATTTGTTTTCTTGAATTCATTTGATGGATTGTCATTTTTTTTTCCTTTTCAACTATCCGCGAAGGAAGGTTTCTCAACAATTTCCATTCAGTGTCAAATGACACGATAAAGTTTACTAATAAAGTTGCAGTGAAGTTGCATTTCTTCTTGATCTTTTCATTTTTTTTGGGTAACCGTGGTTATCAGGGGCAGCTTACGTGCAACGGCATACTAACTAATCTTGTGGGCAACCACGAATTGTCTGGAGTCATCGCAGGTGAACTCCATGTCTACAAGGGCTTTGGCGGCGCCTGGACTTGAACACAGGGATGATGAATTTCTACTACATCCCCTAGGCCTTAACCGGTACGCCACATCCCAATTGGTTTCTTTGTGTGTTTTTAAAAGTGAATTTTGATTCTGTTGTGGAGTAAATACTTGCTCCTACCAATTTGTTCGATCTCTCCATCAAGATCAGAACCATTAATTTACGGGATGTTTGGTTAGAAATATTAAGCAGTAATTAATGAGATTAAAAATAAAAGAAACTGTTTGGTGTTATATGAACCAAACAAAACCCGAAAAAAGAAATGTTGCAGTTAGATTGACTTAATGGATAAAGCTTCCTGTAACTGAATTCCAAAGTCCATCAGTTGTCTTACCTTCTTAATGTTTATTTGTCTCTACTTTTGATTACAAGGTACTTCTTACTTTTCTTTAGCACTGGTCCTCTTTTCAGTTGTCTTTTGCTTTATTTGGTTGTTTGTTTAAATCTTAATAGTTCCATTAAGAGATAACCTCTGAATTGTTAGGAGGTGAATCTTGTTTGGAGAAAAAAATTCTGCCTCTTAATGGTTCTAAAATCGTCTGAATGATTTTGCATCTTAGGCCTCTCTTAACCATTCAATGCACTAATTTCATGGTAAACAATTACCAAGCAATATATTTCATTTTGCATTATATCATGAGAGCCTCTTAATCATTCAAACCACTTAATCATTCAGCACCAAACCATTCAGCAACTACCAAACAACCCCTAATCTTCTTTCTTTTTCGCACACATTTTTCAAGTCGTTGATCTTCATGGAAACGATCACTTGCATGCACCGACTAATTCCCGGATGACCATGAATGCCCATGACCTTTTTTTTACCGTCTGTTTTGATCCGGACCCTTGGGGGTAATTTGGGGGATTGCGTTTTAAAAAACTGTGACCTATGCAGGCTATGCTTATGCTTTAGAGATCTTGTGTAAATTCTTTTTTGTAAGCCGAGAGTCTTCTAAAAACCAAAATATTTCCTATTTCTAGGCAAATATGTTAGAAATAGGAAATATTTACGTCTTGTCTTTAAATTCTACTTACTGAGTTCTACTTTAGTTCTTTAAATACTAGAAAAATACCATTACTTAGAGTGTTCTTGCGTATTATCACATGTGATAAGAGTGTTCTTGCGTTCTTGTAAAATGAAAGTGTTATCGTTTGAATCTCTCTCTCTCTCTCTCTCTATATATATATATATATATATATATATATATATATATGGGTCTAATCAAATGAGAACTAGTTAGTTTGTGGTATCTCAACCATAAATCAATAGATAGATTAGGAAATTTTTAATTTTGGTAATTTTGAATTAAAATTTTAATGGAAGGACATTTTAGGTATTTTCCCTCCTCTCTCTCTACTCTCCTTTCTTCTCTCTCCGTCCTCCGGTGATACCATAGTGGTATCACAATGCATCTTATATGTGTTTGGGTATCACACTGAGGTTGTTTGTATGGTCGATTAGAGATGTAACACATTGGTATCACAATGCATCTTATATGTGTTTGGGTATCACAGTGTCTTTTGTTTAACAGAGTCAATATTTTTAGGTATCACAGTGGTATCACCGGAGGATGGTGGTCGGAGGCTGGAGGACGAAGAGAGAAGAGAGAATACCTAAAAATGTTCTTACATTAAAATTTTATTTCAAAATTAACAAAATTATAAATTTTCTAATTTATTTATTGATTTGTGGTTGAGATTAGATCTCACGTTTATCACAAACTAGTCAGTGCTTCTTTGAATTGACCTATATATATATATATATATATATATATATATGTGGATGGATGGAAGGAATAATTATTTTAAATAATTGGAAATAGATAATATGGTGCAGGAAAGCCATTCATGTTGGATTATGAAATTGACTACTGCTTTACACTTTTAACCCTTTTCACAAGGAGAGATGTCCCTTTCCTTTGCTATGGGGCCATTACTTTTCTTTCGCAAATTAAAAAAAAAGATTGATTTATACTCTGTGTGTTTATTAGCAGTTTAATGAGATTAATAGGACTCGTAGCTTATTTCGTCAGTTATATATGACTGCTTGATAGTGACTTAGGGGTTGTTTGTTTACCTCTTAAGTCTTAACGGTTCCATTAAGATTCAAAATCTGAATCGTTAAGAGGTGAATCTTGTTTGGCAAAAAAAAAGTTTGCCAACCCTCTGAATGATTTTATATCCCAAATCTCTCTTAACCATTAAGAGCCCTAATTTTATTGTACACAATTACCAAACAATTATATTTTATTTTGTACTATATCATGAGAGCCTCTTAATCATTCTGACCACTTAATCATTCTGCACCAAACCATTCAGCAATTGTCAAACAACCCTTTAATGATATGAAAAGTGACTTATTCAGTAAATATTTAGGGATGATTTATGCAAAAAGTAAGTTTTTTTCTCTCTCTCTAAACCTATCCATCCCAATTTAAAAACACGTTCCTTCCATCTATGAAAAAATCATTCAAGACAGAAACCTTCTCAATCTATACCGACGGATTAATTCATAATACCTATGTTTGTGATTTTTCAATGAAACGCCGAGATTTCAAATCCATGAAATCTTTTAAACCAAACACGAAGGTACTTCAGTAATTTTTATAAAATTCAATCACATGTCAAAAATATTGGATAGGTATACTTGTATGTCAATATACCTCTAATTAAAATTTTAAAATTTGGTTTATGTGTATAGGCAAATTCAAACGTGAAGTTAAACATTTTACGAGAAGACGAAATTTTCAATATCATATATGATTACATGCATGATACACAAGTTTAATCATATATGATTAAACACATGTTGAATTGACAACATACAGACGCTTAATCATATATGATCAAACACACCCAAATAAGTGTAATTATATATGATATTAAAACTTTTCGCTTTTTCGCAAAATGTTTAACTCTTCACGTGATCCCCCCCTTCTCTCTCTCTCTCTCTCTCTCTCTCTCTCTCTATATATATATATATATAAGCTTAATCATTTGAAAACTTCATATATTGTGATAATCGTGGAAACTATTATCTTAAGACATTGATTCACATGATTCTTTCTCGTATAAGGCTCGCATTTAATATATTGATTAACATATGTTTGTTTTATAATGTCTTTGTTTTATATGTATGCGGTTCACAATGTAAAACTTTGTTACGTGTAATTTTGTTTCACAAACAGTCTAAAAAAATTCATATTATAAGACAAAATCATGTAAAAGTATACACATTGTAAAACAAATATATATTAATTGATATTCTAGATTCTACTCTTAAATGAAAAAAAAACATATGAAATATATATATATATATATATATATATATATAGAGAGAGAGAGAGAGAGAGAGAGTTTGTTTCAAATACAACCTGTTGCATTTGTACAACCAATGCAACCCAATATATTGAGATATTTATGGAAATTATGAGAGTTCATTTATTATGATTTGAATATTTATGGAAGATGAATATGGTTCATTAATTATGATCAATACTTTATATTAGAAATAATCAAAACTTATATGAAATCACATATTAATCAAATGAAATAGACGGTTGGAATTGGGTTGTATTGGTTGCACAAATGTCATGGATTAGATCTACAATCTGAACATTCATAATCACAAAATTGCCACAAGACTTCTCAATAATCACAAAATTGCCATTGTGCAACTTTAGACCATTAGCTTATAAAATTGATCAATGAACATAAATTGATCTTACGGGTCTCACGAAAAACCCTTGGTCTCACGTGAACCTAACCCTGTGTGTGTGTGTGTGTATATATATATATATATGTATATTATACACACATATATGGTTGGATTCAAATGAGACCAAATTGTCTTTGTGAGACCCGTAAGACTTTTTTATACTTGAAACTTCACAGCAAAACACTGCGAAGATAAAAAAAATCCGAACATCCACAACAAAAACATTGTGACAGTTACACTCATAGTGTTTTGCTGTGAAGTTTCAATTGTAAAAAGGTGGTCTCACAAGTCTCACGAAAACAAACTGGTCTCATATGATCTCAATTCTCTCTCTGTATATATATATATATATATATATATATATATGTATGTATATATATATATATATAGAGAGAGAGAGAGAAAGAGAGAAAGAAAACCCAGGAACAACCTTGTAACAAACATTGAGAACCACAAAAAAAAACATATGAAAAAAATATATTAAAATAAATATCAAATTAAAAATAATTAAGTAATCATTTTTATGGTGTAATTTATTTTGTTCTAATTTTTTTTTATCTAGTCGAATTATTTTTCTCAAAAAGATGGTTATAACCATTTATTTAATTATAACCGTTGAATCATTTTATTCCAACGGTTTCTATATAATCTCTTTAAAACAGAGAAACCCAAAAGTCTCAATTCCAAAAAGAAATTGTATTCAATTCCAATAGTCTTTCCATTTTAAAGATTTCAACATTAATCATATTATTAAAATATTTAATATAAAAATAATTTTTTTTAAAGAAAATAAAATAATTATCTTTATTTCTTTATTAAATATTGAAATTCCATATTTGTTGAATTTTCCAAATCCTTCATATTTTCTTACCTTTTTAAAAGTTTTCTCCAAATTTGTGAGGATAAAAGCCATTGATATTAAATGTTTAAATAATTTTTTTATTAAATGTATTAAATTATTTGATGATATAATTAATAATATAACCTCAAAAATAAAAAGGTTGTTAGAGTAATTCATTTTAGAATTTAGATTTTTAATCATTTATTTTAAAATATTTTTTAATGCTCAAAAACTTAAAATTTTATTATTTTAATTAAATTTATTGTAGTCCATACTATAAAATAGTCGTAAGATTAATATATAAATAAAAATAATAATATAATTTCAAAACGATGACAGATAAAAATAACAACAGATTACAATTCATACAGATAAGAATCGAAATTTTAAAATCACAATCACATGAGTAAGAGTTTTCTTATAAGAACTATCATTGTAAACTTTTAAAAAATTCTTAATTTGATGAGTTGAAAATGTGTTGGCAACAAAAAATGCAAAATTAAGGTTCTTGTAAGAACCCATATTGGAGATGCTCTAAAAGTAGGTTTTTTGAGCATCTCCAACAACTTCTCTAAAATAGAAAAAAGTGAGTTTTGTTCTTTAAAATACTCCAACAACTTTTATATCTTGTTCTTTAAAATAGAGAATCATGGATAAAACTCTAAATATAGAGAATTTTCTAAAACTAGATTTTGAGAGAGAAAATTGATTATTTTATTCGATTCCACCAATAAGATCGAGTTATAACCACAAGAATGATGTCTGATTGGTTTAAGTTTTGACTCCAAAGGTCAAAAGTACCTGGAAGTCCTAGGTTTAAATCCAAGGAGGAATAAAAATTTTCTTGTGACTACGGAGTTCAAATGCGGTGACTCCGGACTACCCTCAAAGCAGGTGGTCGCCTTGGGATTAGTCGGCTTGTATAGCGAGTTGGATATAGGTTAATAAAAAAAGATTGAGTTATTATTTTTTATAAATTTTAAAGAAATATAATGAATTAATTATGATAAGATTTAAATTGTAAAATCCTTGAAATGAAAAATACTTTAAAAATGAATGTAATTCTTTAAAAAAAAAATTATATTTTAATTCTCGATTTAAAAAAAATAAAAAAAAGCAAAAATTACAATAATACCCCCTTGTCGGGACTGGGTGCGCAGGATAAGCAAATTAACCCCAACCCCATTCCATCCAATAGCAACATGGAGAGAAATATCATAATCAGTGCACTCCACTGTACCTTATCCTTCCCCAACCCCTTTGTATTAAACAAAGCATCGCTTTTCGTTTTCTAGAGAGAGAGAACCACAACAATGGAGAACACCACCACCACCACCACCACCACCACCACCAACCATCAACCCTCCGCCGCCACACCACCACCACCACAACAACCATCCCCATTCCCGCCACAACAACCCTACCAGCACCTCCTCCAACAACAACACCAACAACTTCAAATGTTCTGGAACTACCAACGCCAAGAAATCGAACAAGTTAACGATTTCAAGAACCACCAGCTCCCTCTTGCACGGATTAAGAAGATCATGAAAGCCGATGAAGATGTACGGATGATCTCCGCCGAAGCTCCGATATTGTTTGCGAAAGCCTGTGAGCTTTTCATCCTCGAACTCACCATCCGTTCATGGCTCCACGCCGAAGAAAACAAACGCAGAACCCTACAGAAGAACGACATCGCCGCCGCCATCACGCGTACCGACATTTTCGATTTCCTCGTCGACATTGTGCCTCGCGACGAGATTAAGGATGATGTTTCCGTCGCCGGCGGTGGGTTGGGTGGGATGGTGGGGTCTACTGCTAGTGGGCTTCCGTATTACTATCCTCCGATGGGGCAGCCGGCTCCGCCGCCTCCAGGTGTCACGATGGGACGGCCGGCGGTGGATCCTACCGGAATGTATGGGACGCCATCTCAAGCGTGGCAGTCGGTGTGGCAGACCGCCGATGATGGGTCGTATGGGAGTGGAGGAAGCGGCGGACAAGGGGGTTTCGACGGCCAAGGGTAAGTTTGTCTTTTTCCCTCTTACCCAATTGCCATTTTCTTGGTTTTTTTGTATAATATCTTGATTTTTTTGTTCTTTTCAAGTGAAATCCATATATTTATATCAAAATTTGAATCTTCTTCATCTTTTTAACACAATAAATCAAAATATTGTTCTAACAAAATCTTGACTTTCCCTTGTGTGATTGTTCTAAATGTGGAATCATGTTCTACAGTTCTTGATTGTTCTTCATGGGATTGTTCTAAAACTGAAATTTTGCTCTAGAAATATCTGTTTTTCTTTATGGAATTGTGGTAAATGTGAAGTTAGGCTCTGCAAATCTTGACTTTCCCTTGTCTACTTGATCTAAATGTGAAATTATGTTCTACAATTCTGGATTTTTCTTCATGGGGTTGTGCTAAAAGTGAATTTTTGTTATAGAAATCTTGATTTCCCCCTTTAGGATTGTTCAAAATGTGAAACTATGTTCTTGAGATCTTGATTTTTCGTAGTGGGTAGAAACTAAATTTGCTTTAGGACTTGAGACTTGAGAGAGAATTCATTTGCTTTGAGAATAATTCCATCTGTTTTGTCCTTTACGCATATTCGGTCTTCTAGTTGTTTTAGAATCAAGAATCCAAAAAATCATGATCTTTATGTATTGATTCGACGTTTCTGATAGAAAAGAAATTGAGGACAATGTTCTTGTTCTGTTTTTCGTTTAATCGTTTGCGTTCTGGTGAATTATGAGGCTGTGAGCTAAAGAAATGAACTAATTCCCATTCAAACTCTTCGTGGGCACGTGTTTGATGTGTTAAATGAGTAGGGGAGAACTCAAATGAGAACCATAAATTCGTGATGAATAACCTTACAATTTTCATGAATATTATTCATTATGAATATCATTATTCATGATATTCATCATGGATAACTCATCAATAGTTGGTTCCGAGGTTTTCAAAATATTTATTTGATAATAGCTTTTATAATAATTTGATAGCATCAGTATTGGTTAAAGTAGACGAGGACCTTATATGTATTCCTTTTTGTGTAACTGCGAGCACGGGTGAACTACTCAACTTGTCTATCTTAATCTCCTTGTTTGAACCTATTCTCTTTACATTTGTACCGATGCATTTTCTGTTTACTGTACCAATTACATTTATCTTGCTTGCTTGTTTCATATTAACCATGAGAGGGGTTTGGGTGTGTTTGGTACGACATGACAGAACAAGAAACTTTTCTGACATTTGGTGCGACATCAGACTGAAACAGGACAAAACCGTTATACTAAATTACTAAGGGCGCTGGTTCAGTGGTTCTTGACTGAGAGTGAAACCGTTAGATACGCTGAGAGGGTGTGGAAATATTGGTTGCTTGGAGGACGAGGAAGGGTCAAACCACGTTTTTTGATTGAGAGGAGAAAATACTAGCTTTTTGGGTTTTAAAATATTAAAAGTACACACTGGAGTATTCTTTTAAATAAAAAAGGATACTTAAAACTGTAAAGAGAAGTACTACTACTGTTATAAAGCTTATAAAAAAGCCAAAAAAAACATTGGGCCTTTGACCTAGCGGTATGTGAGTCCTTGGCCTCCTAGGAGGTCAAGGGTTCAAACCTCACCAAAGGTGAGGAGGGTGTGTGAGTTTATTTGTTCTATTTGCCATATAAAAAACCATTATCAAAGCAGATCTGAGGCGTACAGCTCGGCACAACCTCACGCCTACCGAACCGCCTCACTGAACCAGGGTGTAAGCCTCATCCAGGGTCCAAGAGGCGCCGCCTCGCCTCATCGCGTGCCTTGAGGCATAAGCCTTGCACAATTTTTTTAACCATGGAACAAACGAATACGGGTTTTAGATGATACTTAACAAATTTTGTGTTTTTCAACTGGACTCTTGAATCTTGATCACAATCTTGTGTGATTAGTTCTGTTTTCGTATGCTCTTTAACAGGACCCTTGAATCTTGATCATTATCTTGTGTGATTAATTCTGTTTCCCTGTGCTTTTTAACAGGACCCTTGAATCTTGATCATAATCTCGTGTGATTAGTTCTTTTTTCTTGTGCTCTTCAACGGGACCCTTGAATCTTGATTATAATCCGATGTGATTTGTTCTGTTTTCATGTGCTTTTCAAGGGGACCCTTGAATCTTGATCATACTCTTGTGTAAATAGTTCTGTTTTCATGTGATTTTCAAACGACCCCTGAATCTTGATCGTAATCTTGTGTGATTAATGTTCTGTTTTCGTGTGTTTTTCAACACGACCCTTGAATGTTGATCATAATCATGTGTGATTAGTTCCTTTTCATGTGCTCTACAACAGGACCCTTGAATCTTGATCATAAATTTATAATCATGTGTAATTAGTTTTCTGTTTTTATGCGCTTTTCAACACGACCCTTGAATCTTGATCATAATCATGTGTGATTAGTTCTTTTTTCCTGTGCTCTTCAACAGGACCCTTGAATCTTGATCATAGTCATGTGCAATTAGTTCTGTTTTTCTGTGATTTCCAACAGGACCCTTGAATATTGATCATAATCATGTGTGATTAGTTCTTTTTTCCCGTGCTCTTCTACAAGACCCTTGAATCTTGATCATAATCCTGTGTGATTAGTTCCTTCTTTCCTGTGCTTATCAACAGGACCCTTGAACCTTGATCATAATCATGTGTGATTAGTTCTGTTTTCCTGTGCTCTTCTACTGGACCCTTGAATCTTGATCATAATCATGTGTGATTAGTTCTGTTGACCCTTGAACCTTGATCATAATCATGTGTGATTATTTCTGTTGACCCTTGANAGTTCTGTTGACCCTTGAACCTTGATCATAATCATGTGTGATTATTTCTGTTGACCCTTGAATCTTGATCATAATCATGTGTGATTAGTTCTGTTTTTCTGTGATTCCAACAGGACCCTTGCATCTTGATCATAATCTTGCGTGATCGGTTCTTTTTAAATATAAAAAATAGATAATCTTGTGCTTCTTGATTACAGATAAACAGTTATTTATTTGGAATGGAGGGGAGGAAGCAGCCTGCTGGAACTGAAGATGATGGTAATACCTGCAAATTATGGTGGTATGCAATTGGGGTTGCTATACATAGTGTTATGAGAACAGAAGGGGGAAAAAAACTAGTTTGAATGATTGGATATGCAGTTAGAGTGGTAGAGATCTGTGTATAAAAACAACCCTTCAAAGATGAAACAATGTGCAGTTGGAATTTGCATTATCTTGACAACCCCTTCTCCTTCATGGTTCCTAGTCTTTTTGTTTTAGGGTCTGTTTGACAATTGCTAAATGATTAAGTGGTCAGAATGATTAAAAGGCTCTTATGATATAGTGCATAATGAAATATAATTGTTTGGTAATTGTGTATAATGAAATTAGGGCTTTTAATGGTTAAGGAAGATCCATGATACAAAATCATTCAGAGGGTTTTAGAACCATTAAGAGACAGATTTTTTTTTTTTGCCAAACAAGCTTCACCTCTTAACGGTTCAGATGTTGCCTCTTAATGGAACTATTAAGAGATAAACAAACAACCCCTAAATTAGCTTATAAACCTAGCTATTGATTGATAATTTAGGGGTTGTTTGGTTGATTTTCTATTAAGGGCATGTTTGTTAGCAGCTTAATGGGACTCATCGCTTATTAAGTCAGTTATACATGACTTTGTGGCAGTGGCTTAGTGATATAGAAAGTGGCTTGTTCAGTAAGCCTCTAGGGAGAGCTTTATGTAGAAAGCTATGTATTTTGCAAACTTTCCCCTCCTAATATCAAAACATGTTTCTTCCATTTAGGAAAAAACCCTTCCAAACAAACATTCTCAATCTACATATTCTCAATCTACATAGACAGATTAATCCACACAATCAACTTTTTTCATATAGGAATTAATGGAAAACCAACCAAACAACTACCAAGTCTTGTATGGATAAAGTTGTCTATGTAGATCAAATGTTTGTATAGATTGGAAACTTTTTGTTTGGGAGGGTTTATTCATGGATGGAAGTAGCATATTTTTTAATTACAAGAGATAGGTTTAGAGAAAACTTGTTTTTCTGTATAAAGCTCTCCTATAAGTTTATTGAATAAGCCATATTCTATATCATTAAGCCATTATTAAACAATCATATATAGCTGACTGAATAAGTTACGAGTCTCCTTCAACTGTTAACAAATAGACTCTTAAGTTTTTTAGATGATAAGATAGTTATGTTTGGTACAAATTAATTGATAATTTAAACTAATTGTGTTGAAAATTTGATTGGAAAAATACAAAGGGCATATTTGGAAAAAAAAAACTATAATCACCGTTGACCATCTTCTAAACCACACTAACATAGCAACTTGCAATGGTAGCAAAGGCAATGCGTAGGCGACGACAAGGGTTCGTATTAAGGTCTCAAAGATAACGACTAAAATATTATTTACCGAACATTAACCGAGTAAATGCTTAATGGGTTAATGCTTACTGGTAAGATTATTGCCTACTGTGTCATTTTGATGGCCAAAAATTTTATCTGGTAAGATAAGTGAGAGCTGTAATTCTTACCGGTAATTGTTTTCTCTGTAAAACATTTAGGGATTGTTTGACAGTTACTGAATAGTTTGATACAAAATGATTAAGTGGTCAGGATGATATAGTGCAAAATGAAATATAATTATTTGATAATTATTCAGAATGAAATTAGAGTGTTGAATGGTTAAGGGAAATGCAAGATACAAAATCATTAAAAGAGTTTTAAAACCATTAAGAGGTAGAATTTTCTTTCTGCCAAACAAGATTCACCTCTTAATGATTCAGATATTGCCTTTTAATGAAACTATTAAGAGGTAAACAAACATCCCCTTAGTAAACAACCCCTAAATAAATTAATTAACATATTAGCTAAAAGTGTCAATTTAAAAATAGTCTAGGGACTATTAAGAAACCTAGTTTCGGAGATACGTCGTCGTATGGTTTCTGTACGGTGGCTAATGCGGTATAATACGGAGGTCTACCGTATATTGGAGTTCTCTCTAAATTGCAGGCGCTGGTTTCTGAAAGGGTCAGAAGACAACCAAAGAACTCGTTGTAAATTCTCCCTAATCTCTCTCTCTCTCTCGATCGAAGATTTACAGCTCAGATATTTGGAAGCTACAATGGTAATTGCTTATTTCATGTTGTTTACAGTTTTGATGTTTCAATTCTTACAGTCAAAGCTCCTCCATCATTTCTTGTTACGGTCTCTGTTTGATCTTATCATCTGTAATCAGTAACTTGAATCAGGGCTTTTCAATTGGTAAATTTGATGAGTTGCATGTGAATTTGGGTCAGATCTGGGGAAAACCGATCTGATCTGTTAGAAAATGATGATTTTTTTTAATATATGTTAGGGTTTTTTTCTTCTTCCTCGATTAGCATATAATTCATTTATATTTTATCAGAGAATATGTTTTGATCTAGTTGGATTTGACATCTGAAATGTGGATTCGACGTCGATACTGGTTTATATACTAATTTAACCCCTAAAAGTATCTATTCGTAAGGGATTTTGCGATGCGACCTGTGAGAGGTCCGCGAAACGAGCTGCATAGAGTATATTCTGAATTTGAATTAGCTTACGATACAGATTGTATGATAGGTCAGGATCATAAAATTAAGGAATTGGATAAAGGAAATGCTTAAAGCCTGGTTGTCTCTGTTTGGTTGGTTTTCATTAAGTATTCAGCTTACTATGTGGAATTGAAAAACTTGGCTTTATGCAATTTCTGCATAAAGCTCCCTTAGAAGCATACTGTATAAGCCTATTCCTATATCATTGATTTGATACCGGATTCCCATTAAGCAAACTGTCCGTAGTAGGGTGTACAAAAGATTCTTGCTACAAGTTATACTGGTCCCATTTCTTTGCAAAATTGATTTAGTATCCTTATATCTCCTGAAATTGTTATGACACGTTGTCCTTTGTTAAGGTACATATTGCTGACTTATGTTTGTCACCCCATGTAACTATCTGAAACAACTAATTTAACTTTCTCCTTTTCGTGAATTAGGATATTCTATAAGTTGTAGCAAGAATCTTTCTCATGAAGATAAATGAATTATATGCTAACCAGGAAGAAAAGAAAAACCCTAACACATATTGAACAGATCAGATCGGTTTTACCCTGATCTTACCCTCACATGCAAATCATCGTATTTACGAATTGAAAAGCCCTGATTCAACATTAAGAGTTATTGATTACAGATGATAACAACACAGAAGATAAAAAAGAGGCGTAATAAGAATCTTCCAAAGTATTGGAAGTTAATAGATAAACTTCTCTTTGGTTTCTTAGTGTCAAAAAGTTCATGGTCCTTTAGTTTTTTTTTCCTGGATGGATTTGTCTTGTTGCTTGATAACCGATTTCTCATGTGCTGGGATACCTGTAGACTACATCAAAGCGTTTGGCTGATAGAAAGGTCGAGAAGTTTGAGAAGAACATCAAGAAGCGTGGTTCCGTGCCTGAAACGACAACAAAGAAAAAGGACTCTTATCCTGTGGGACCTATAGTGCTTGGTTTCTTCATATTTGTTGTGATAGGATCCTGTAAGTTTTTCCATTTTCTACAATTTGCCAATCTTTCTTTTTTATATATTTGCATGCTGATCATGAAATTAAAGGAATTTAAATCTTTTTGTCTATAAAGACCTTCTAGAATGAAAATGCATGAATCATTGTTGTCTGAACATTTGAGATGACATTAGACTGGGACAGACGGGACCAGAGTGGCACAATCTGTCCGGCCAAAATAGGTGGAATAAAATCAGGGAGATAGACAAGATTCATAAATTATTAAACTATTCATGTCAAATTGAAACCATAAACTCTACCATTATTCTTTCACCCGCATACCTTACTCTCGTCCATCCTATCCTATCTGCCTACCAAACACACAATTTATAGATATTGAAGAGTTCAGGAGTTCTTATTAACAAGGAAAATAATTTATCTGATCATTTTGTTAGGAGACGGTTAAGGTGTGTTGAAGCATTTTAGATGTCCGTGCTTAACTCTAGGTTGTCAGCAGGTGATGTTGGTTTGGTTTGTTAAATGTCAATCTGGCTGTTTATCCTATCTGGTGAGATGCTATCTTGTTCCCCAGAAGGGTAGTTTGGGAATACTGTGTTACGCGTGTTCTACTTGCCTATACACATTTACGGTTTCTGTTATATGATATTATAATGAACATGGATAAATAAATAGTCATGTGCCTGGCTTGTATTTGTATTATTATTAGTATGTCGATGTAGAGACTAGAGACCATATTCATATGTATAAGAGGGTTTTCGTGGAAACAACCGTTTTACTATGTTGGGGAAGTTGGGTCTGCTTACATCTCAACCCTCCCCAACCTTGCTTTCGACTGATCTATTTGGACGGTTTGATTCGGTTTATTTATATCACTACAACAAATTTAGATTTATAGGACACCAAAAACGTAAAGTGTCCTGATAGAATGCCTTATAGGATTTATGTTTATAGGTCCAAACAATTGTGTGTCCTATCTAAAAGTGTTGTAATAAATTTTTGGACGTCCTAACAAGTTTCTTAGGACACTTTGGAACAAAAATATTAGTCCCTTTCCCTTTTACTAGATACTCTTAATCAATGTCCTATAAACACATCTTTTTATAGGAACTTTTTTTAAATGACACCTCTTCAAATAGTGTCCTACAATATGGCTAACAGGACACTTTGTTTCAAAAGATGACCAAAAGTGTCCTAAATTTTTTTAAGACACCCAATCATATAAACTTATTACAACATATTTAGATAAGACACACAAGTGTTTGATCTTATAAACTTAAGTCCTATAAAGTAGTCTATTAGAACACTAAGAAATTTTTGGTGTCCTAGATATAAACTCGATTTTATTGTAGTGTATGTAGAAGAATGGAGAATGGTATCATTACCATCTTGTCTTATTGGAATTGAACTCATGATGACCTCTAAAACCAATAATGGTTTATTTTGGTGGTTTGGGCTGCTGCTTTTATTATATACTGATGATGATGTGGTGTTTGTTTGTTTGTTTTATCAGCTTTGTTTCAGATAATTCGCACAGCAACAAGTGGAGGCATGGCTTGAAGTTGAGGAGGGTAGGTTGGTTTGTTAAAGCTAAAGTTGCCTTTTATGTAAGCTAAACAAGTCGTCATATGTTGAAGAAGTGATTCCTTTTGTTGTGACTCATATATACATATATACATACATATTATATATATATATATACATATATACATACATATCATATATATATATATAGACTTGGGATCATGTGAGACCAATAGTTTTTCGTGAGACCCGTAAGACCAATTCTCAATCATTGGATTAGATTTACAATCGTCAGATCTGAATATTTATAAACGCCACGAGACTTCTCAATAATTACAAAAATGCCACCGTGCAACTTTAGACCACTAGATCATTAATTTATAAAGTTGATCAATGAATATAAATTGGTCTTACGGGTCTCACGAAAAACTCTTGGTCTTACGTGAACCCAACCCTATATATATATATACATATATACATACATATCATATATATATATATATACATATATACATACATATCATATATATATATATATATATAACTCAATAAATTATATGATATTATATTTACAGAAAAAAATACAAATACTAAATGTTAAATATAAAAATCAATCGGGGGGATGTGATTAAAGTATAGTTTTTTATACTGATTTAAAAGTTGTGTACAAATTGTTGTTGTAAAGAATAATTTTTGGTCATTGTTAAATTGTGTAGACCAAACGATCCCGAGTTAACAGAATTTTTTAAACGGAGTTGGTGGCAGGTATCCACGACGTTATAAAATGTAAATCATAGAAACACACATGTAATTAAGAAATTCGTATTTAAGATGTAAAATTTTAAACATTTAAGTATCCGGGTAATTAGTTGAAGCATGTATCATTTTTTTATTTGTTGTTGATCTAAACTATGAAATTCGTATTTTTTTTTGGTGAACTAGCATGACCCGTGGTTTATTAAAAAGCCAAATTGTATGAAAAAGTAACGTACTTCAACTTGATTTTTATTTTCGGTAACGTACTTTCAAAATTTTCATTTTGTTATCTAAGATGTAAAATTTTAAACATTTAAGTATTCGGGTAACCAGTTGAAGCAGTAACCGGTTATCATGCTGATGTGATATCCAACTCAGTATTATTTGTTGAAGCATTAACCGGATATCACATCACTCACCACATCAACATGGTAATCGGTTAACGCTTCAACCGGTTACGCAAATACTTAAATGTTTAAAACTTTACATTTTATGTTCCAAACTGAAAGTTTGAAAGTACGTTACGCGAAATAGAAATCAAGTTAAAGTACGTTACTTTTTCATGCAATTTGTCCTTATCAAAATTACAACTCTATGCGGTTATTCATTTATTTGTATTAATGTTAATTTTATTACTTGAAAACCATAATTAAGAATTATTGTATATTTGATATTATTTTGATAATTTATGAGATAATATATATAAATATAGAATTCAAACTTCTAAAACGTTTTAATATATAAGGAGGTCATTCAAGTTTGTCAAATGTCTCGAACGAAAACCACCCAAAAACTTAAATTTCTTTCATTTATATCAACTCTTGCAAAAATAATAAATATAATCATATAACCCTAATTTGATGATAGAAAAAAAAAACTGTAGTGGTTAAAATATCGAGTAAACCTTTAAACGAAAAAAAACTCAGATGGTGGTCGACAATGTCACAACAAGGAGATAGTTGGGAAGGGGAAAGCCAGTGGTGTTTGCAAAGGGAGGGGGCGGTCGACGGAGGCTACTGACAATGCATCAGAAAGGCAAATGGTGTTATCTGATTCGAATTTCTTTAAACGGGCTTTTGGTGTACAAGTTATATGGCATGAATTTTGTTGAATTGATTTAAAATTTAAATATTTTAATTTTCAACAATTCATATATTAAGGGGGTGTATGGAATTGCTTATAAAAACAGCTTATTGATTTATTCCGGTGTGACACCGGTAATAATCATTTTTGAGTGTTTGGATAAACAGTTTATACCGGTGCCAAGCTGGTAATAAAAAGTTTTTGAAGAAATTAAACCATTTTTACTTGTAATTAATTGATAAAGACTTTTATAGAAAAATATAAGTTGGTTCAAATAAGCAAATCCTAAACACCCTTTTAACTCTTTTTTTCTTACAACCTCGTTAATTTACGTTTGTTTTTTAATATGGTCGTCAAAAATTTAAAACTAAAGGCAAAAATTGTCATTTACAAATAGATTAGGGGGTGTTGGTGTTATTATCAACAATATAAACATATTTTTCTGGTAACTGTCGGAGGTTACCAGTATCACTCTTCCCTTCTCTCCTCCGCAGTTGCAGTTTTCTCGAAGCTTCGCCAATGGATGCCATAGATTCAGTCATCGATCCCTTGAGAGACTTTGCTAAGGACAGTGCTCGTCTTGTGAAAAGGTGCCACAAGCCAGATCGCAAAGGTATGCATTCATCTCGATCGAATTTTTTTTTTCACTCTGTATGGCTTCTGTATGATTATAATTCATGCTTGTACCTACCGTTTGATTTAACTTTCAGATTTCTTATGATTTGGAACAGAATTCACAAAGGTTGCGTCTCGTACTGCGATTGGATTCGTTGTGATGGGATTCGTCGGGTTTTTCGTTAAATTGATCTTCATTCCTATCAATAACATCATCGTTGGCGCTACTTAGGGTAATTATTTGTGTTCCTGTAATCTGTTGTTCCCGATTTTCTTTATTTTGTGTGAAATTCTACTTGCATTCGCCTGTTGTATCTCATTTTCTGTTCAAACTGATTTGAGGTTTTTAACCTACTGTCCGTTCGTTCATTCCAATTCACAATTGCGTATAGATCTAACACCGTGATTGAGTCCGAGATGAATTTCTCATGAAATGTGCATTAGGTTAGAGTGGGATGTCTTTATGACCAAAATTAATGTTTTGAGAAGCAAGGAAAAGTTATCAGTTCACATGATTTGCAGGCAACGCAGAAATAATGAATAATACCGCTTCTCTGTATGGAATTTATTTAGAAAAATTCATGCAAGGCCTGATATAGATGATTGACATTGGCTGCCGGTTTACTTTGTTTTTAACACAAAAGCTATCAGGACTGATTCTAAAGGTGGCCCTGTGTTGTGGGTAGGAGAATGATCCAGTTTTAAGTATAATTATCTTCACACGAATGATCTTGGGGGACTCGGTGTGGAAAAAGACCAGGGGCGGCGGAGGGAATTACTTGTACATGGGCTGTCTAGAACCTCCTACCATCAAAATAATTTCATGGCTACTTTTGCACCATTATATTTGACTTCATCTTTGTACGTTTCTGATGTGATACCATTATTGATTGTATAAATGATCACATATTCTAGAAAGTAGCAATATGATGTGAGAGGTTATGTATTAGGCTAGGATGTCTTTTTCACCTTCCTAGTGTTTTCATCTTCAATGGTCAGTCTGTGCTGAATATTCCTGGAAGTGTTGTTCTGTGTGTAGTTCACTTGTTTGGATACAATTTTGCAAGTATATGAAAGGTCTCCCTAGATTTGTTATTTTTCTGTGTTTTTCTCTGATACACTGGCCATGGAGACTGCTCTAGTAAACACTTACAATCGTAAAAAAATGCATATCATATCATCATATGCAGAAGGATGGACATGCACTATCATCGGACATAAGTTTTGCATCATTCATCAGGTGAAAGGGAAAATTATGCATTGATCATAGGATTTAGTTTATGTGCAATATTCACAGCTAACTGAACATGACTACATGAGATAGTATTAAGTTGGAATCTTGGGAGTTTTAGGCTGGTAAAAGTCATCATAAAGGTTTTTGGTGTACTACTATATATTCTAGCCTAGTTAAATGTATGTTCTTGTAGTATGGATTTATCAACTTTCTAGCCTAGCAAATGGTATGCTCCATTATTTGCAAGGCAATTTCTTGATAGGCCGATAGCATCTGTCCTCCATCAGCCTTTCTCTGGCTGCACTTGTAGGTATTTCAATTGCTTGTCCTATGGTTAGTTTAATGTTGACATGAGCATAATTACCACCAAGTCATTGTTATCAATATTAATGTTGTTGACTGAAGTCTTAATGTTGAACATCTATTACAGGCTGCATGGAGGTTGAAGCATGCAAACGAATAGCAATCTTAGAGGTAAGAATAACACGAATATTGAGATGCTTTACCTATGTTCAAACATATGATATGTTTATTTCTTTGTTACTCTCCATGTTAAGATTAATACAAATGAGAATTTCTAAATTTGAAATGTCTGTTTTCTTTGTTTGTTACTGCTTGAAAGTAGCTAAATAGTCTAATTTCCCTGCAATTATTTCTCAACTTAAAATCTCGCCTTGTTGAGTAGAGACTGAGGATCAGTATTTCATCGCATGTTTTTACTGTATATAACAAATGTGATGAGAGTGGTGGTCGAAATTTTCATTTTAGGCTTTGGGAATTGATTTTTTAAAATAAGAAAAGTTCCTTTATGAAGTTTCTTCATGTTGCAATTTCTTGTTTTGATATTTTTACATTTCGCTTAGATTTTGCGTTATTTAGATTTCAAATTATTTGTTAACTGGAATAGTGTTTGGATGTGCAGTTAAATTCAGTTTTGAAAAAAACTGTATATAGAATGTCTAGTCTGTAGATTGAGATAAATTTAAAATTGTCTTAAGCCCTGTTCGTTAGCAGCTTAATGAGCTTATTGGACTCACAACGTATTCAGTCAGCTATACATGACTGTTTGGTAGTGGCTTAATGACATAGAAAGTAGCTTATTCAATAAGCTTTTAGAAGGGAGCTTTATACAAAAAGCCAAGTTTTTTTAAACTTGCTCCTCCCAATTAAATCACACATTCCTTCCATCTATGAAAAAACCCTCCCAAACAAAAACCTTCTCAATCTATTTAGACAGATTAATCCACAAAGACAACTTTATCAATTCTAAACTTAATGGAAAACCAACCAAACAACCCCTCAATATTTTTAGCTTATTTTGATTCTTCATGATGAGTAATAAAATACACATCCAAAAACACCCATAAAATTGAAATGCCTATAAAATGCTCCATCCTCCACCACCACCACGAACACCATTATATCCCTCCTATGTTAGGAAGCAATGGTTGCTACCGCAGTGGTAAACCATTTCAGCTCATCATAGCCACCATCTTTCTCCTCGCCCATCATTCCAATTAACTGAACTTCTTTCTTGTTTTATCCTTCCCCATTCCTTCTAATCCCTCTAACCCTCAAGTGTCCAATAGGATAAAACCCCACCAACCACCGCCATGCAGCACTCCACCACCGGAACCCATGTCTCCTGATTCACCTGGACCAACTGAGATCCACCCTACCTACCGCTTCATCATCTACAACATCCTCCCCGACCACAAGCGGTGTGGTGTATTTGTCTTCAAAGGATATGCACTCATGCCTTCGGCATCCCACGAGTCCCTGAAATAACAATAAGGAAAATCCCCCGTGAGCCTTAGAAGCTCCAGACCATCTTCGGGTTCTGCTTTGTGAATTTGGGCCACCTTTCACCGTGACCTTCGGCATTAAATACCCAATCCATATCCTTATTTCATTAATCATTCCAAATCTACATTAAAGAAAACTCCCATAATTAGTAGAGAGGCCCACTAGAACTCAATTAGCAGGTGGGTGAGTTGTTGCACATCATGCCCAACAATTACCATGCTTATAACCTAAGCAAAACCTTTCCTTCATCTTCACTCCACTCATATCCTGAAAATCCAACATATTAACAAACGCCACGTTTGATTCCAATAACTCTTTTTCTATCCCTTCCCCAACCATTTACCTCTAAAACACACTTCTAGAGGAAACACCATTACTTCAAAAACCAAAAATGCCACAACTCCATTGCTGCCACCCTCCTGATCCTCCACTGTTTGAAATATATAATGACAAAACTCACACATATCACATTTGATGAGGTCTGAACCCCTGACCTACATAGATGCTGAGCTCTACCAGTAAACCAAGTACTGTTTGGCTAAAGACGCTTTGGTCTGATCCTCCACTGTTTGAAGTATAGAATATTTATATACGGCAAAACTCAAACATTCCTCACCTTTGATATGGTTTGGATCCTTTGAGCTCTAAGGAAATTCAGCGCTGGGTCAAATACTTTTGGTCTGATCCTCTGTTGCATCCAAGCTTCTCCGGTAGGTATGGGCCTTACTAAAAGGAAAATCATCCTCCCTCTTGTTTTCCTGTTGGTGATACTCTCCCTTCTCCGAGTACTCAAAGTCGCCATTAGCTCTTCGCCTTTTTCATCCACGAGACTCGTTCTAAACACAGTGGTTCCACCTACCATCCGTTTGAAGCCAATTCGTGACACAGTACTCACCCAAAAGGAGATCCAGTTTCTTTACGACATAATCCTTCAGAAATCTCCCTGCAACCTTCTTGTTTTCGGGCTTGAAGAGCAGTACTTGAAGTTACCGACCGTTAATGGAGGTGGTAGCACAGTTTTTCTAGAAGATAGACCCGAAAAGCTAAAGAAAACAAAGGGGGGTGCTAATGGCAAATGGGTTTACAGAGTTGAGTACAAAACTTACGCCAAGAACGCGTACAAGTTGCTAAAGCACGCGAGATCACACTCGAGTTGCTATCCGCATTCTGGGATAACAACTATCGTGTCCAAATGCAAGCTTGCATTAACGGAGCTGCCCGAGGATGTGCTAAAGACGAAATGGGATGTGATCGTGGTGGACGGACCTGATGGCGATGGACCAGAATCGCCAGGAAGAATGGGTTCTATTTTTATGGCGGGTGCTTTGGCAAGAGCCGGAAACAGGACCAATGTGGTTGTCCACGATGTCGATCGGATGATCGAGAAGTGGTTTTCGTGGGAGTTCTTGTGTGAAGAGAATCTGGTTTCTTCGAAAGGGAGATTTTGGAATTTTAGGATACCTCGGAAAATTAATAACCATTCTTCGAAATTTTGCTCTGTATAGAAAAGTTGCATGGTTCATGTGTACAGAAAAGTCAGTTATATATTTTTTGAGTGATTTTTTTACAAGAATATATATATATATATATATATATATATATATATACACACACTAAAATGCCCCCATTCAACATAATTCTTTTAACGGCTGTTAGAGGGAGGGACTAAATCCGGACGTTTTTTAAAACCATGATGGTTTGAAACTATAAGGAGGAACAATGTTATTTTCCACAAACCATAGGGACCAAATTTGCATTTTGCCCCTTATTTTAAAAATTACGAACAAATTGTTTGATTATGAACTTTGAGATATAATAAGTTAATAACCATCAATTCAAACAAAATGACCCACCCAAACAACAAAAGATAAAAGAAGATAGTTCTAAATAGAAATGGTCAAATAGGTCCGGCCGGCCCAGGACCGGTAGTTAAAGACCGATTGCAATATTTATGCGAAAAACAAGGCCTGGCCAAAAGCCCAACTCTAACAATGTGAACAATATAACAATTGGAGTTCATGTTGCTATATTCGACATTCAACAAAAGCTATATAACGATTACATTGTAATTACAAAATTTGAATGAAACACAAATCGATCATCCTTCTCTTGTGTTACTATCCTCTCTCAATTCTTCTAATGACTGTTCTTCCATGGAGGTTGCCTGGCCAGCATCAATCCTCGACTGCGACTCTAGATTTTCACCACCAAATTCATACGATCGATGAAATTGAGAATTCCATCAGAAGCTGAGAACTTATTTATAGGGTTGTTTGGATGTGTTTTAAGGACAATTATTTCTAGTTTAACAATTAGAAGAGGAATTTGAAATCTTATGCTCAATGAGGCCACCCTTATTACAAATATGCTTAATGTTAACTTTAAAAATAATGTTTACTCCCAAAATATCCCTCCCTTTTCATTTAACCTCATGCATGTCTTTTCTTTGTTCTAAAACCCCAAAACCCTCTTTTTCTTTAAACCTTTTTAGAAATCTCGATTATTTATCAACCATCTTATTGTTGTAGTAATGAATGAATTCAATTAGTTCCAACGCTATGTTTGGCAAACTAACTGGTAAGCTAGCTGATGAACAAATTATGTTTGACAAAAATTAGCTTATAAGCATGTAAAATGACAAAAAATGATATCTTAAAATAGTCAATCACAAATATTTCATAATATAATTTAAATGAATTTATAATAATATGATGAAAACAAGACTCTATTGATATAATATGTTAATATTAATACAAATAAAATAG